GTTTAGGGCTCTTGTACATAGAGTCACTATGAGTCACAAACAACTCGATGCTCTATGGGTTATCCTTTCTGTCTGGCTCCAGAGGACAGAATAAGGTCTAAAGGATGAAGTACATGGATGCTAATTAGTACAAGAAAAACTTGAATACAAAAGATTACAAAGGACAAAAGGGGGGAAACCCCACCTGATTTAATCTTTATAACAATTCTGAAAGGTAATACAATTATTTTTACAGATTTGAGCACCTTTAATTGGATTGGAGGTGGGGTGGAACCACAAACAAGAAGCTACAAAACCAGCCTGTTCCTCAGGTTTTAGAAAGATTAGCTTTTGGATTATATTCATATAGTATATATCAGGAGGGGCAAGTTTATAAGACTATCTTTATGTATGGTGAGTCATGAGTTTACTTAGAAGGAAACTAGACAACATGTGGTCCCAGATGTGCTAAACCAACCTCTCATTTCCTAGAAATATTGGCACCACTGGAGTAGATTGGGAAGTGCAGATAATAACATCATTTCTCTCACCAAGAATCCTAGCAATTCAGTAACAAGGAGAAATTGAGACCAGCAAGGGCAGTGATAACTGGTTTGGAAAGCAATCAGATCTTTCAATGGCTTTTTAGAGGCCATAAATCACACAGGAAGAGATTTTCAGTCTTGAACTTACCAGTATGGCCCAACCTGCTGATTGTTAACTCCCCTATTTTATAGCAGCAGATAAGGAAATCAAGAGAATAACTGAAATTGTCAGCCAGCTAATGACTTAGTGACAGACTCAAGATTGTTGTTGTTGTTATGTGCCTTCGAGTTGTTTGCGACTCATAGCGACCCTATGTACAACAGCCCTAAACCGTGCCCTATACTGTGCCAATCTCATTGCCTCTGATACACCCATCCCGAGTGCCCCAGTCACTGAATCAATCCACCTCATAGAGGGTCTTCCCCTCCTGCGCTGTCCCTCTACTCTACCCAGCATGATGTCCCTTTCCAAAGACCGGTCTCTCCTTACAGCTTGTCCAAAGTATGTCAGACGAAGCCCCAGAATCCTTGCCTCCAAGGAGCAGCCTGGTTTAATCCTCTCTACGATGAATCTGTTTGTTTTCTTGGCAGTCCATGGTACATTCAATACTCTTCTCCAGCACCACAGCTCAAAGGCGTCAATTCTCCTTCTATCCTCCCTAGTCATTGTCCAACTCTCTGATGCATAACATGTGATTGCAAAAACCATGGTGTGTATCAGGCGGACCTTAGTCTCCAGAGAGACACTGTTGCTCTTGAGTATTTTGGAGAGGCCCCTAACCACAGACTTTCCCATCGCAATACTTTTTTTGATTTCCTGGCTACTGGTGCCACGAGTGTTGACCATGGAGCCGAGCAAACTGAAGCTGTGAACAATCTCAATCTCTTCGCCATCCATCCTGATGCTACCGATTGGTCCAGTGGTGAGAATTTTTGTCTTCTTGACATTGAGCCTCAGTCCATATTGAAAGCTGCCGTCCTTGACCCTCTGCAGTAAGTGCATGAGGTCCTCCTCAGTTTCAGCGAGCAAGGTTGTGTCATCAGCATAACGCAGATTGTTGATAGATCGTCCACCAATCCTAACGCCATGCTTCTCCTCATAGAACCCAGCCTCTCGGATAATCTGCTCTGCATACAGTCTCCTATGAGGAGACTCAAGATTAGGACTCCTTATACTCAACAAATATCTTTTCCATGAGACTTTTTCTAATTCTTTCGTCTATTTATCTATACTTTTATGTATTCACCTCTCATTCTCTATATTCATCTAATCATCTAGTGCATCTGAAATGATGCACTATGAAAAATAAAACTATGACAATGAAAAAGGATAACAGAGGAAGAACTGATGCCTTTGAATTGTACTCTTGAAGACTACTACTGACTATCCCATGGACTGCAAAAAGAGAAAGCAAATAAGTCTTGGAAAAAGTGAAGCCAAGGTGCTCCTTGGAGGCATGGATGATGGAACTTGATCACACATACGTTGATCATGCTTTTAGGAAGGGCTAGTCTCATGCTTGGAAGGGTGGAGGTTCAGCAAAAGAGAGGAAGATAGACTCTCAACAAGATGGATTGACACAGTGACTGTAGCAACAAGTTTACATTAGGGATGGCGAAAGTAGCACAGGGTAGGGCAGGGCTCAAACCCATAGTTCATAAGGTTACTGGAGTCTTAGTCAACCTAACAACAACTACAACAATCATCTAGCAATGTAATATCTCCTTTTATCCATCTTTGTGTATATATATATATGAAGATATTATCTATTTAACTTTCTAGATTTAATAGAAGGAGAGTAGGAAACTGGAAAGCTATTGATTTTTGTTTGTTTTGGCTTCTACCTGAGTAAAGAAAAAAGATTTTAGAAAAAAGTTTTTTAGTCTGTAACACAGCATCATAAAAATAGCAGGACCTATGAATTTTTCCAATAGGTAATTCCAGGCTGAAGACAATGTATTTGAAAAACAACCTAGTGTGATGCAATATTAAAACAGTAGGTCACTATGGCTATAATATACCAGCTATTGATAATGAGATTACAGGCTCCAGGCTCCCAGTATTCTCCCTTCTGTGTTCCAGCACTCAATTTTGTTTCTGGGGAATACCTACTGCTGAAGTGACGGAAGAACCTTGGGTAGTGTCATCAAGTCTTTTGGCTTACACTTGATATAAGAATTCTTGTAGCCTTAAAACTCAAGCCATATACTCTTATATCTCCTTAGGAAAGAATACTTAAAATAACTTTATCCAAGGTAGAAAAATCATCTCTCTATTTACATATCCAAAACGAATCATGCTAATGCATATGGTTTGTTTACTCTATTGGAAGTGATGTTCTCTTCTGCCTGATGTGGTGGTGGTGGTTAGGTGCTCTCAGGTCAACTTGACTCACAGTGACCCTATGACCAACAGCTCTGACCCTTACCCTGTCCTGAGTCAACCTCACCATCTCTAACACAGCTGACCCTATTGCCACAGTCACTGTGTCCGTCCTTCTCATCCATCGAAGGGAGACACACAATAAGGGTCTTCTTCTGCTGAGCTGACCCTCCACCTTTAAAAGCATGATGCCCTTTTCCAAGGAATACCCCCTCTTAACAAAACAGCAAAAGAAATGACATGAAGCATCTGTAGAAGAAGATCAAGGTTATAGCCTTCAATATATGTTACACCAAACTTCAAGAAAACAAAAGTCCTCACCACTGGACTAATAGGTGACATCATGACAAATGGTGAAAAGTTTGAAGTTGTTACGTATTTTCTTTACTTGGATGCTGTGGTAGCAGCAGACAAGAATTCAAACAATGTGTTTTGGATTTTGTTTTGGATTTTCAAATTGCATTTGGTAAATTTACTACCAAAGACATACCTAGAGTGCTAAAGAGTAAGGATATCAGTTTGAATACTAAGGTGCACCTGACCAAGTCATGCTATTTTCAGTTCTTTCTTAAGGAACTGAAAGTTGGACAATGTATAAGAAAGACCAAAGAATTATTGTCTTTGAATTGTGGTATTGGTGAGCAATATTGAACATACATCATGGATTGCCAAAAGAACAAACAAATTTGTTTTGGAGAAGTGCCACAAGTGTTCTCCTTGAAGACAAGGATTATGAAATGCCTTCTAATATAGTTTGAGTGTCTTATCATGATGTATCAATTCTTGGACATCATGTATGGGAAAGTAGAGGGTCAGTAAATGAGAAGAAGATACTCAGTGAGATGATATGACAATAACTTGAGAATGTGGAGGTTGTGAGGATGATGCAGCATTTTTCAGTGCAAAATTTGGATCTGTTGTTCATAAGGTCAATATGAGCTGGAGTTAACCAAATGGAACCTATCAACAACAATCCTTGTGAAGAAGCTCCAGAGGCAAAATGATAAAAAATGCTTTGAGCCAAAAAGTCAATGGTTCCAACACACCATTGGATCTCTGAAAGATGTAGCTGTCTGCTTTATCAAGATTTACAGCCTCGGAAACACTGTGGGGCAGTTCTACTATATTTTGCAGGACTGATTATGAGTCGGAATGGACTTGCCAGCCGTGAATTTGGTTTTGGTTTCAGACCATCTTGTGCTTTTTCTTGAAAGTGTATTCCAAGGGAGATGCTACATTTAGGCCCATTGTACAAGAATGTTTCAATGATCTTTTTGTTTTGCTTTGCTTTAATTTAATATAAAGTCTTTTACAGCTAAGTATTCCATAAGTCTGACCTTCAGATTCTCACCTTTCAATATTGTTCTAAGGACTGAACAGACTGATGAATGTGGAAGGTCTTTGCAGTGTTTGCTGCAGTACAAATGTAAGGGATGTGCACACAGAAACTAAACCTATTTTTTTTTTTTTGGCTTTAACTAAATGTATAGTATAATTTTAGCTGAATCTTTTATTGCCTGTAAGGGCAAAGCACAATTGATTTTATGTAGAACAAGTAGTTCTCCTTTCTCAATTAGTTGCTTTGCTCTTTCTCTTCCACATTGAGTACAGTATCCACAGTTATTCCTATGTCCTCCAGTGTCCAACTTCCCTTCATGTCCAGAGGCCTTCTGGGAAAGGAAGTAGAAAGGGCATATAAGGATGTGTGGTAACCAATCTTCATCATCCAGTCAAGTAAGACCTGTGACTGACAAGACTTAAAAAACCGTCTCCTCAGGAAACGTCCACTTGGACACCGAAGAGCAACAGTAACTACTTCATCAGCTGTTTCAGGTGGTTCTTCAGGTAAATCAAGAACCTTCTTCTGTGGAGGACATTCAACAGGTGCTGTAACTCTGGTGCCAGAATTAGGCAACTTCCGTCTCTTTGCTGCTTCTCTGTTTGAAGTTTCAAAAGATGCCAGACTTGCATTTTCAAGCACCAAATCTTCACCGCTCCCAAGTTTGTGACCGTTGCTTAACTTCCAGGTTTCACCAGTCATCTGATAAAAACGCTCTTCTAGTTTTTTCAATTTCATTTCCTGGGAAGGTTTTAAAACATCCTCTAAGTATCTGCTGGTCTTTTCACTCTGTATCTCTTGTTGTTGTTTTCTCACAAGTTTTCGCCTTTTCTCATTCTCCTCCTCTTCTTCACCTTTCAGACAGACTTGGGAACGTTTAAATGATTTAAGCCATGAGGTAGTCACAGAAATTATTAAAGTAAGAACAGCAAGTAGTAAGAAAATTTGGCCACAAAGCAATATGAGATCTCTAATTCCTAGATGTGGAATTCCACGCCGGAGCTCTAAACACAAGATGGGAATAGCAGCGAGGAGAAAAATGACGACGCCACGAGAAGCCATCTCTGTGGGAGTCCCGCTTCTGGGCGGAAAGCCCGCCTCCGAGCGGCTCCTGGAGGTGGAGATGCGCGGTTACTGCGCGATGATGAGGGAGGTGGCAGGGCCGGAGGGCCTAAATAAACTGCTTTTCAATTTACAATCTGAAAACTTACCAGAAGACTAGAGGTCCTCTTGCATCATGTGCGGCCCTCCTCAAGGTCTGAAGTAGTGGTGGCCCACCCTTCGGAAGTGGAATTCGGCTGAGGCTGGGGTGGGGGGTGGGGAACCCCTCTAATGAAATGAACTGGAAAGGATCTTACAGACAGATGAAGTTGTGAGGAAGGAGGTGGTTGTGGTCTTTGGACCCAAAGCTGTGAAGTGCTTTCGTTGATGGCTGCTAATGGTTACTCTTTCCTTTTTCCAGCAGAGGCGCTGCTGAATTCAAACTGCCTGAGTTTGGTTTGGCAGGAAATGTGACTCTATCCACAAGACCACCAAAGCTCCTTGACTTTTCATTTAGTTGTCATATTTCTTTAATGCCCTTTAATCAATGCTGATGACTCTGAAAGGAGTTTCAACAGGTCTCTGATACAGTGGGAGAAAATTGTGAAATAAAACTCAAAGTTGCACCCCCCCCCTTCAAACAATGACTTTTAGACACCATTCAAGCACTCAAAAGAAACTAAACCTATTTTTGTCCCCTTAATTTTCCCCCCCGAATACAAATCAATCTTTAAAGCTACTAAAACAATTAGCATTCACGCATTTGACATATCAGTGTCACAGTGTTCAGCCTCACAGCAACCAAAAGTGACCGTGGTATGGCAACTTGTATACCAGGGCTATACGACCTAGAGGAATGTCTGAACAAAAATAATTAAAGACAGGCCCAAGGGCCACGGATTAAAAGTCACCCACCTTTGGCTTGGTAGCATCGCTTTCTGTCCACTGGGCCAGCTGATCTCTCTCTCTATGCTGATATTATTGTTCTTAAGTGCCGTTGAGTCGCAACTCCCTGATTAACAAGCTTGGAAGGGGGAGTGGCATCCACTTACATAATAGCTTGCCTCCGGAAACCCTATGAACCTGAAGAGAGGATGAAAGGCACCCAAGCGTCGAGGACTCTCCTCCATAGGGTTGCTATGAGTCTCCTGTGGCTTGACGGCACTTAATGACAACAACAACAAAGCAATTAGACATCTGTCTGATAAATCTCGCCAAGTGAATATTGATAAAGTATATATTTTTATTGACCTAGCCAACATTTATATAAGAACTGGAACATACTTTATACTAGTTATGCACTAGGTATGTCTCCATGGATGATTATGATGTGTTTCTTTGTTTATTTGTAAAATTTGTTTTGGCGATGAATGAGCAAGTAGGTAAATAGTGAACTCGTCGAGCAAGTGTATTTTTTAATGTAGTTATCAGCTTTCCAAAAGAGATCCTGAACAAAGAATATCCACAAAGTAATCATGTTTTTTACTTTTTCTAATTCTTGGCATCTTTTTAAAATTTTTCTTTCTTTTTGAACAAAAAGGAAAGCATTACAAGCCTAGAAAAATTAATAGTAACTAATGAAGGTACAGTGTTAGTAAAAGTAACTTTTGATTTCTTTTTGGACGAAGAAGAAAGAAGTACAACTTGGCAAATAAAAGTGACTTTCAGAATGAAATAAAATCAATAACATGTTTTACAAAGGAGGGGCTGACTTTACTAAGGACTACTTCATGCTCTATGGTATCACTAATTTTACACATTGCCGTACACTGAAGACATTGGTGTAATATTCATTTAGTCTACAAAACTAACCTGTTGTTTTTGTTGTGTACTATAGACTCAGCACCGACCCACAGCTGACCCTCTGGCGGGTTTTCATCAGAAGTTAATCTCATGGAAGGAGATGGCCCATCCTTCTGCTGAGCAGCTGGTGGCCTTGAACCGAGTATCTTCTGGGTTGCAGCTCAGCTTCTCCCCGCTAGGCCACCAGAGTTCCCTAAAACTAACCTACTCTCCACTAAATCATTCACATATTGCAAAGCAATTAGTATACTGGCAGAAATTCTGAAACTAAGGTCCAGTGCATTCTCACTTTTACCTTGCCTTATTTCCATTTGTTACTAAATCTGGGATCCAAGAGCAGGCAACAATAATTGCAAAAAAGATTTTGTCACATAGAAGCCCCCCACTGAACAATGTTCTGGTTTCTCCTTTGATGAGTGTAAGCTGTGATATTAATGAAGGAGAAAGAAGCCACTATCCTTAAAGGTCATAATAGTCAATCCCAGTATTCAGCCTTGGAAGAAAGCAGAGGAGGCAGCAGGAGTAGCATCCAAGCACGACCATGCTGCCTTGCTGTCTGCTAGCACAAAGTCTTGCCAAAGCACAATCAACATTGATCCAAAACGTGTGGACCAATAACAGCAGTAGACCGATTATGCCAGAAGTAGTCTCAAGACTCAGAAGCACAGTAATTAATACAAATTAATACAGAGGCATGGGAAAGCAGCTATTGGTCTCATCTCACCTTTTCAGTTTTAAAATCTATGGAGTTAATATGGCTAGCTATAAACATGAATGAATATAGGATTACAGTAATTACTGGGCAATAAAGAGAAAGGAAAAAAGTCTTGTTGGCACAGTGCATTATATATTGGACTATTAAACGAAAGATTGGTGATTTGAATCCACCAATCTTCATGTGGAAGAAAAATGAATAGTCACCTGCTCAATGATATATGATCCTCAAAACCCAGTGGAGGGTTCTCCTAAGTTGAACTGGATTTTAATGGCAGTGGGTGGGTATGGGAAGGGAAAGAATAAAAGGTATAACTCATATTTATGACTTTGACATCTAGGCTAAAACAAGCAGAAACATTAATAAATGATGATTATTGCTAAGAGAAGACACTAGTGGTTCTGTGGTAGAATTTTTCAATTCCTTGGTGGAAACCTTGACCAGCCATTGCCCCCCATGAACAAAGACCATCCATCTGAAAGTGGGAGCTTGTGTGCTGTCAAATGGTTTCAGTAAAGCTTCCAGACAAAGACAGACTAAAATAAAAATCAGCAAATGAAACCCTATGAATCACAGTGATCTAATCTGCAGCTGATCATGGGGATGACCCAGGACTGAGTGGTATTTTGTTCTGTTATGAATGGAGTCAACTGCAAGATGAGAACCTATTTGACAACAGATAACAATGAACAAACAACAGCTAAAAACAAACTGCATTGAGAAAAATTGCTGTCAGAGACCTCTCCAGAGTACTTAAGAGCGATGATGTCAGCCTAGAGACTAAGGTGTGCCTGATTGAGGCCATGGTTTTCACAACTACTTGCTATACATCAGAGAGCTGAACAATGGCTAAGGATGATAAAGAAAAAAACAAAGCTTTTGAGCTGTGGTGCTGGAGAAGAGTATTGAATATATTATGGATTGCAAAGAGAACAAACAGGTCTGTCTTGGAGAGGGTGAAACCAGGCTACTCCTTGGAGACAAGGATTTTGAAGCTCCGTCTGACATACTTTGGGCATGTGGCCAGGAGAGACAAGTCCTTGGAGAAGGACATCAGGCTTGGAAGGATGGATAACAATGCAGGAGAAGAAGACCCAGGATGAGATGGATTGACTCAGTGACTGGGGTAATGGAAGTAGCTGTGCCAGAGACAATGCAATTGACTAAAGACAGAGCAGGACTTAGAGCTATTGTACACAGGGTTGCTATGAGTCGCAAGGAACTCAATGGCATATAACAATAACGAATTTGAATAGAATGTTTACTGTGTGCCAAGGTTTATGTTAAATGCATTTGCTTATTTAAAATTCAAACCAGCCTGCTAAGGTAAGAATTCAGAAAACTTCCTATGGTCTGGAAGTCATGTCAATCCATTTCATTGGGGTGTTCCTCTACTTCACTGACCCTCCATCTGTCCATGCATGATGATCTTTTCCAAGGAATATCTTTACTTAGTACATGTTCAAAGTATGAAAGATGAAGCTTTATCATCTTCGTCTCCAAAGAGCACTCTGGCTACACCTTCTCCAAGATAGATTTGTTTTTTTTGGCAGTCCATAGGAAGGTGAGTGCTCTTCTCCAACACCATAGCTCAAAGGCATCAGCCCTTCTTCTGCCATCCTTATTCATTGCCAAAATCTCAAATGGCAAATTATCAGAAAGATCATGAACTGAATTAGATGTACCTTAGTCCTCAAACTGACATCATTACTCTTCAACAATTTGAAGAAGTCCCTAACCGCAGACTTTCTCTGTACTCCTGATTTCCTGACTGCGGCTACAAAGGATGTTATTTGTGGATCCATGCAAGATGAAGTTATAGACAGTTTCAATTTTGCTCCATAAATCATGATGTTGCCTACTGGCACAGTAGTAAGAATTTCTGTTTTCTTGATGTTGAGATTTAATCCATGTATAAGGCTGTATTATTTGATCTTCTGCACCAGGTGCTTCAAGTCCTCCCCACTTTCAGCAAGCAAGGTTGTGTCATCTGTGTAATACAGGTTGTTGAGTCTTTCTCTGATCTTGATCTTCTTCATGGAGTCCAGCTTTTCAAAAAATTTGCTCAGCATATAGATTGAATGAGTATCTAGAGAGAATTAAACTCTGATGGACTTCCTTCTTAATTTTAAACCATGTAGTATTCCCTTCTTCTTTTTGCACATCAACCTCTTGGTCCAGGTATAGGTTTTACATAAGTACAATAAGTGCTCTGGGATTCCAATTCTTCTCAATGTTAACCATAGCTTACTATGATCTACACAGTCAAATGCCTTTTCATAGTCACTAAAGCATAAGTAGACATTTTTCTAGTATTTTTTACTTTCAACCAGGATCCATCTAACTCAGTAATGATATCCCTGATGCCATGACCCCTTCTAAATCCTGCTTGAACTTCTTACAGGTCCCTATCAATGTACTGTTCTCTTCAGCAGTATTTGCTTGCGTGGGTTATTAATAACATTGTTTGACATTTCCACATTCTGCTTGATACCCTTTCTTG